TGTTCCAGGGAACAGGAAGCTGGCTCTGATAGGCCTTAGGTCTGATCCAATAGAATGTTTCATGTTTTTAGCTTATGTAAAGCCAATATAGCTGGTTAATATTTTAAAATATTATTTGATGCCAGGTTAAAGTAGATGCCTATGTTAATATTGACCTTTATCAATCTAAATTGAAGAATGCAACCCATTATCTTATTACAATGCTTATTAGTCACTGTTTCTAAATGTTTCCAAGCCACGTGGATAGTTCGTGAAAGATTAAGCCATGTGTCACTAGAACTCAGTGAAAAAGAAATAGAAGAGATTCTTTTAAAAAAGAAATGGGATTTTTTAATCTTGCAGAAGTTAGCTACTGGGCTATTTCTCATCTCTGACTGGAGCTCTAGAGAAATGACTATGTTTCATTTTTTTTGTACAAGAATTATAGCTGAAATTTTTGTTCTAACAGTATTTCTTTTTTTCCCCAAGCAGTATGCGTCAGAAAGACAATGATTTAATTTGCTGTTTATCTATTATTTTGTTAAATATGATTACAATAATTTGGATAATGCTTATAGAAAGCTGGCCTTTCTATTCCCTAATCCGGCATATCCCAATTTTTCGAACAAAAATCTACTCTGCTCTTTAAAAAAAAGTGAGTTAAGATAGGGACTGGCTGGAAATTCCAGGAATAGCATCTGAAGGATGCTAAGATGAAGAAAACTGTTTTATCCAAAGGAGAATAGGAGTCATATTCCATAAGACCCACCCAAAATCTTCTAAATGAGATTCAGAAATGGCACTTCTTTCTAAAGGCTTGTTTTTCTGGCTGGAAAGGTCTTTTTTAATTAATACATTTTGGTCTTTGTACTTTATTCAGCAGCAAGAAACTTCATCAGCAATTATTACTCAAATGGTTTATGAGGAGAGCAACACTGGATTTTTAAAAATATTGTTTTTAAATAGTGTAACAGTTAAGCAAAGAGGAAGGTATTCATATACTTTATAATACCAGTTTTGCTAAGTAAGTAAACAATACACATTTAGTCCCCAAGAGTGCATTATGCTAGTCAGTTCAGCAGCTGTGTTTGATCAACTTTTAATTTTTTTATGTGAGCTTCTTATTTAACTCATAGTTTAACACCCTAAGTAAGACATGTCAAACTGGCGAAGTCACATGATATTGCGCAACGTATCGGCACGGTTTTGCTATTACCGGCAATGAGGTGGGCACGGCTTCCGGATGACGTGTCCAGCCCGCGGGCCGGCAGTTTGACACCCCTGCCCTAAGTCATAAAATAACTAATCAGAGTTAACATAATTAGTACTAACTAAAATGACTCTTTATAACTATAGGACAAATAATGCAGTAGCAACAGGCCTCCAATGAGCATTTTGTTACAATGCCCAGCCATTTCTCCAAGGATCAGAGGGCATGCTGGCCACATAAAATCTGCAGATCTTAAAGTTGATGTGGTTGAAGAACACTGGGCTACATTATAGATCCAAACCATTTACAGCGAACTTTAGTTTCTAAATATCCAGGGAACCATCATACTAAGATCTTTTAATATTTACCAATGCACTAAATTATTCATAAAAGCATAGTGTTTGATTCTCCTAATGGACATTTTATTATTCTGCATCTCTTCCCATAAAGTGCTCTGAGAGAATTAAATATCAAAAAGCTTTGTTCACGCAATATTCTTTAAAAAAAAATACATGCAATCTTAGTGATTGGCAATTTAAAACTATTTAAAGCATTTTGAATAATCCCTTTCTAGTTATACCTGCAGAGTGCTCTCTGATCTTAGGACAACTTAAATCAACTTGACAGTACAAAATAACTCAAGAATTTAAATTGGCTCTAACCCAATCCATTCATCTGTAGCTGGTGTACACAATTGGCAGTTCCCATGGTCAGACAGGATGAAAACCTTAGGATCACAAAATAGTTATACTTCTGCTTAAACATTTAAATCAAACAAATGAACAGAATATTTACTGTATCTTGGTTTTCCTAAATAAGAACAAAGCAAGTCAAAATTATCTTCCGAAAATAGGATCAACAATGCTTAGATTGTAAGAGTAGTGAAAATCCTACTCTTTGCCTACTAAGACAAAATCTTAGACTGATTATGTTGCCACACTGCCATATTGAAGAGTTCCATGGCTAGCTTGCACCTTAGATGCTTCTCTTTCCACCCCACTTCAGTGGAAGGAGATACAGATAGGGAAGATCTGATACCAATTTCTCAGTTTAGCAATAAAGAAAAAAGCAAATTGGGGCTTGAGTAGAAAAGAAAAGTGATCTAGCAAAATTATTTTGAGGTTTATGTATGCATCCACCAAGAAAAGACAATAAGTTCATTTATAGAGCCATAGTAAACCTTCAATTTACATCCAGTTCAGCTGTGTCCATGCAGGGCATGGCAAGCCTCACAGCAGTTCCACCTGCTTGTCAAGAAAAATTCATAGAGGATATCTTGATGTGTAGTTCTCAAAATAATGTATTTGACAATATTTCTCAATTTGCTGAACCAAATCCTGCTATTTCTCAGCTCCAAGTTTTTGTATATTTTTTCTGGGGCTTGTGGCCTTCCCTGACTTGATTCCTCTCACATATGCTAGGTTGAAATTTTTATAACTCATAGTCATGTTAACTGGATGTTAAGGGTTCCAATCTAAAACTTCTGGAGGACAGGGTAAGGAGAATATTTTATAATGTAATTCTCTTGAACAAGTTGATTGGTTATATAAATATTATAATTCATTATATTTAGTAAATCTTTAATAAATGTTATGAGTAGATTTTTGCTATTAAATCAATAAATTAACTCTCTTTAACTTATACTTGCCAGAATTAAATTATACATTACACTGGCATCTCTCATAGTTAGTCGCAAGTTCTCTTTTATATTATCCACCTCTTTCCTGGTAATCATTGTTTTTCCCCAAAATATTTTTTCCCAAGACTTATTTCCAGAACTGAAATTAGCTTGCAGGGAGTGGATATTAAGGGAGAAAATAAGAATACTGAGCAAGTGATGAGTTAAGCATCCACATACAAATCATAGACTGATATTTGAGCAGAGGATGACAAGACACAAGAAAACTGTGTTCATTGGTTTTTGTTGGTGGATTCATTTTGATAGAGCCCTATTGAATCTGTGGATAATTTCTCTTATATCCATACTCTAATGTGTAGTGAAGCATCCGCAATATTTCTGCTTATTCCAAGCTTGCTGATAAAGTTCTTATTTTTTTTCTGTAATGATGTCAAGAAAGCCATTTGCTGATGTTCGTTAATAGGAAATGAAAGGAAAACATTTGGGTTTCTTTCCATAATGCAAACTTTCTTGCATTTAAGATAGCACTCCCTGACATTCTTTGGTGCTTCTCAATAAAAAGGATCATTTCTTTGTTGAGAAAAATGTAGCAATCTCACAGCAAGGATACCTAAAAGCTTCAGTCTTCAGCAGCTGTTTGGGGCTCCTTTACTCCATGCCTTTTATGAGATTATTATACAGTGTACATTAAGAATAAATAGCACATCAGGTGGTGCAAACCAAAAGAATCAAAATGTTCTACAACAAACATCTAGTTACATAATTGTATTGCTAATAGAGAAGTAATCAGAAGACTTGTAGATAATTCACAGTGATTTGAGAAATGGTAATATGTGGAGGAAAATATGGCCTATTCTGATGAGTCATATTTCCAGAAGCTTACAGAATCAAGCAAAACAGATAACACTGTCTAGGCTTTAGTCCCAAAATAAGCTCAGCTAGAGAAAAACTATCAAAGGAAATAACAGGCTTTGGGAGGTACCCACCAGCATTCTCAAATAATACTTTTGATCTTTCAACTGGGGTCTCTCCTGAATGTATATACAATTATGGGCCATAAAGAAGGTGGCATGTGTGGTCATTTTAACATTGAGACTGCCTTGGAATCACCTTGCTTTATGTACTCAGTATATTTTTCCTAGATTAAGCTCTGAAAAATAAATAGTTATGCTATTTTGAATCAGGCACTAGTAATCATAGCCTTGGTGTTATCAAAGAAGAGGGCAAACCTTTTCTTACCCCACTCATGCACTCCTGGTTCAGGAATATCATTCACATGGCATTTAAAAATAAAACACCTTTGCTGGAACCAGTTAGTTTAGACCGGGGTAGTCAACCTTGGCTTTTTTATGACTCATGGACTTCAACTCCCAGAATTCCTAAACCAGTTGACTACCCCTGGTTTAGACTAAACAGCAGGAAATGATAAATGAAGCAATGTTAAGAAAGGAACCTTGTTATGTGGTGATTGGGTCTCGAAACATTCCCAGCATCCTAACCACTAGGCCACCGCACTCCCTCAGTATAACAACAGATACAGTTAATAAGAAAAATTAAAACGCAAGACAAATTTGGTATAAATGCAAAGTGTATAGAAGATAGAAAACAATTTGATCAGGAAGTTGAAACATATTCCCCATGACACTTTTTAAAATTTTCTTTAGTTTAGAAAAATGTAAAAGAGAACTCAATGAAATAATATAACAAATATATTTATAAAATTATAGAACAATGATGATGTGGAAAATGCTTTTTTTCCTCTCACACAAGGAATGAAAAGTACAGTGGCCTTTCCCTGTAAGTGATATATTTATTAAGCTCAGTGCTTTTTTTCTAAAAAAAAAAAAAAAAAAAGGTGCCAGAACTCACACAAGTCATACAACCTGCCTGGCCTACCCTGCAAGGTTCCATCCAAAAAAGATGCCAGAACTCCGTTCTGGGCGTTCTATGAGAAAAAAAGTCCTGATTAAGCTGTTATATATTTCATTTTTCAAAAAGGCAACTATGATAATTATGCTTGTGCCTTACAATTGGGAATCATCCTTCATGAACCAATCTCTCTCTCTCTCTCTCTCTCTCTCTCTCTCTCTCTCTCTCTCTCTCTCTCTCTCTCTCTCTCTCTCTCTCTCTCCCTCCCTCCCTCCCTCCCTCCCTTTCTCTTTCCTTTTTCAGGAGAGGATGATGATGATGATGAATGTGGCGAAGAGAAGCTACCATCCTGCTTTGATTATGTGATGCACTTTCTGACCGTCTTCTGGAAAGTCTTTTTTGCCTTTGTTCCCCCAACAGACTACTGGAATGGTTGGGCTTGTTTTGTAGTGTCCATCATTATGATTGGCCTTCTCACAGCTTTCATTGGGGATTTGGCATCCCATTTTGGCTGCACAATTGGCCTGAAGGACTCTGTAACTGCAGTCGTATTTGTTGCACTGGGAACTTCAGTACCAGGTAAGAAAAAATAAAACACAGCAAAAAAAGTAATTTAAGTCCCTGCTACTACTTTTCATGTTGTCTCCCTTCGCTGTAAAATGAGGGTTCCCAGTAAGCCTGGAACAATCCAGGATTTGGCAGCAATTACTTCAAAACAATTCCATTGGAATCTCATGGATTATTTCAGAGCAAATGACTGTCAATTGTAGCCCTAGATTATGTTTCCCTATCTATTACTGCCTTTTAACCTTTCTTAAACCAGAAATAAAATATTTTTGAACCATTTGTGGCTGAAAAGCCATTCCATTGATTACATCTTGACTCTGGGAACTAACCTTTATCTAAAACACTATTTCTTATTACATTAGTTATTTGGAAGTGATACATTCACATAAAGTTGCCAGTTTTTAAGTAACCGTAAAAGGACAACTACAGAGTCAAATAAGCAAGATGATAAATAGGTTTTGGTATCTAAAAGTGATATAGAGAGGTACAGTATCAATTGTTTATTGCTTTAGAAAGCAAAGAGTCATGATCATGAAATCCAGTCACAATAGGGTCCATGCAAGGTATGGAAAGGGGGTTTAATTTTTTCTTCCTTTTCACAGACCCAATGACGCATCCAGGCAATAGTTTCTTTTCTATCATTCTAAAGATTACTTTGGGAACTGATAGAACAATAGTAATCTGCCTCCTATGGGTTGGGGAGCCTAACTATGTGGAAGATAAATTTTTAGTGCCACTTATGTTTTATCAGTATATAGAGAAATGAAGGGGAAAAGGATTCAGGCAAGGCATAGTCAATTTTACTTAAAGGCAGAAGAAAACTCACTGAGACAAGACCAATAAATGGTTCTAAGAACAGAACACCTGATTACCTGATGCATTTTTAGGTTGTCCCCAGCAGTGGAATTATAGATCATATTTCTCTGCACATAGACTAGGGAAGATATATACATTTATTTATTTTATCTATTTATTATTTATGACATTTGTATGCTGTTCATTCCCCTACAAGATGACTTTAGGCACTTACAACTCATAAAACAAATAAAAATAATTAAAACATTAAAACTACACGTTAAAATGTTATTAAATTGTACTATATACATACCTGAAAATATTAATCATATAATTTCCTGACCTATACAGCCTGAGTTCGGTCATTTAGCAATGGCCTTCTGCACATGGAAATGTCAGGGATGTTTGCTTGCTGACATTCTATCCAAACACTTTTCTATATAAACATGTCACATACACATTTGCATCTTATCTGTTAAGAACAAAGTGTGTTTGTGGAAGCTTTTCAGATTTCTTCTAGTATATCAACTCTACGGTTACAAAAATATTTTGGCTGAATAGATAAAACAAAGCAGAATAATGATTCTGTGTACAGTAGAGGTCATAAGATTCATTTATTTATGCATTTATTAAATTTATATACTGCCCATCTCACTATTACAGCAACTCTGTGTGGCTTACAATGTGATAAAAAGATTTTTAAAAGATAATGCAAACCAATTAAAATTAAGAGAATTAAATAACTTAAATTAACTTCCCTAGTTTCTCCAATGAAAAAGCTTGCACAAAAGACAATTGCAATGATTATGTCCAATTCTTACTTGTTTTATATCAGTAGTATTTCTTTTTGAACATATCATTTTAATTTCATGTAATCAGTACTTTGTCTTTCCCATCCCTGAACTTATTAGACAATTTTCCTTTTACTAGTTTTAACTTTAGGGAGAATTAAATAAGATGAGAATTAAAAACATACTAATCATGATAATAATTCAATTTAGTATTAATACTGTACTTACAGATTTTTGAAAATCCTTTTGTTCCCAAGTCTACTTCAAGATGGGTAACAAAAAGCATAATAAAATGCTTTCTATATTGCTCAATGGCATCAATTAATGAGGATTTTGATATGTCCATGTCCAGAGAAGACAATCAAGGCTTAAACAGAGGAAGTGAGCAAGTGGAAAATCACATCTAAAGGACCAGTTCTACTATTTAGCATTGTGAGGCCATCACCTCAGATGATGATTGGATGCTGGGAGGTAGCAGCAACAAATTGGAAAACAGAATTAATCATCATGCAATTTTTCAAACACTCTCTAAGTTACCCTGCAAGCAATCACTCTCTGCTAGCACTGAATCTCATGTAACTCCATGCCATTATGGACTGTAACTCAGTGATAAAGCTATCTGGGATGTATGTATGCAGATGATCCTGGGAACCTTCCCAAGTGGTCACATTGCCAGTGTGGAAGAAAAATCCAACTGCCAATCCAATCAGATTGTGCACATTCCCCAATTCACTGGCAACAATTTGCTTTAGGCTGCCAAAAAAGGGAGCAGAAAGGTTGATATATGTTCATCTTTTCAGTTATGCAACAGTTATTTAGTATGCAGGAATCAGCAGTATTTCATGATCTGGAGATAAGATTAACACTTACAAATGTCTACCCATCAAACTACAGTTATAGGATACAAATTAGTAAAAATGGTTTTTATTAAAAAAAAACAGCTGAGAATTTTACAATGGAGGACCCAAACCCAAGTTCATAGACCAGAAGAGAGAAAAGTTGAGAATGAAGAGCAAGTTAAAAAAACAAAACAAGCTAGAGGCACAAAACAAAAATCAATATCCGAAAATTTAGTAGTGAGCTACTAAGGAATAGTCATTGACTTAACTCTGCATTAAACTGTTTGAATTGGGCACCCATCTTTTGAACAAGACAGCTTCTTATCAATCTCATTGCCTAATTCCCAACATCATGAATTTACTTCTGAGTAATAGTTACAGAATTATATTGTGTGAGTCACATTCAGTTTTAAGCAAAGACAGAACAGATGTATAATAGGGTTGCAGTTTCAACATAAATTACAATCATCTTGTCACTGGTATGAATGCTAAGGGTAGGAATATTTGAATGAAATCATTGCTAGATAAGGTAATTAAATTATCCAAATGAGACATTTATTTGCAACTTAGGTGCTACTAAGTTTCCTTTTAAAGAAATGGGATTCCTTACTGAAAAGTAGTATAGTTCATGCACATAATTCAGTCCCGTTGGCCTCACTGAATAATGTGGTGATACTTTAATTATGTTTAGAGAATGTTTATTAACATTAACAAGGATATAGTTTGATAGATATATTCTAAAATAATAGTGCCTGGGGAAAGAAGAGCATTCCATACTTAATTAGAAAAAACAGCATCAACAATAGTGAAGTCTGAATTTGAAGATAAAAGATAATTTGAAGGGAAAGTTGTCTATTTGTTTGTTTGTTTGTTTATTATGTCGCCCATCTGACTCTGCAAAGAATCATGCAGTTAAATGAAGAGAAAAAGTGTCCTTTGTCATTGGCCTAAGCTTCCTGTGGAGTTGCTAAACTAGGGATGCATGATCCGAGGCCCAGGATCCTATACAGCAGCCAGATCTTAGATATAGCAAACAGAACCCTTCCAAAAAATGCTGCCAAATTTCATTCAAAATGAAATAAAAGAGAGAGATTTTTAAATAAGGGCAAACCTGCCATATTTGGGTGGCAAAACCTCAGAGAACCAATAAAGTATTAAAGTGTTCTGTGTTTCTTTACTGCTTTATTGATCATCCAAATTTTTGTTATTATGGAAGGCCTAAGTAAGGTAGTTTCCAGTTAGTCAGAAAATCATCTGGCAGCCTATCTGGACAATAGGAAATACTGTATATTGGTTGTTCTGATTTATTACTATATTGTTTTATGTATGTTGCCTTTCTGTTTCTGATATTTTTATAATGCTTTTTAATATTGTAAGCCACCCGGAGTCCAGAATTTGAGACCCTCTGCTATGTAAATTAAACTTATTAATAAACAAGCAAACCAACGAATTTCATAAAAACGATCCTGTGAATGAAGAGTGTTTTGCAAGCAACCTTTGCCACCCACAGCTTGCCAAGAACTCTGCTGGCTGTTGCAGAAGGACCTAGTATGAACTTTCTTATTTTGACATCAGTTCTGCAGTCTAATTATTAAGTTGCTGTGGAGCAGCAGAGGCAGTACTCTGGAGAAATTGCCTTCTTTTTAACAGCAATTATAGAAATGTCCATAATGCTATTTTCATGAGTGAAAGCAGCTTTTGAATTTTAATATAAATTAACATCCTTGCCCTACCTATTTGGCCTTGCCTTTGTATGGGGATGAAGAACTAGCTACCAGATCAGACGTCACAATTTTGCATCCAAGATTCCATAGGAAAAAGCTGTTTCTAAACTCCTGCCAAGAATGACATTTTAAAGAAGTATTTTTGTAGGCTGAGCTATCCTTTCTCTCTTTTTATCCAAGGTGACCTAAGGCTGCTGTCCTGAAAACATTCAGTTAAAGCAGCTTGGAATCTTTATCTTTTTTTTTTTTTTTTTACGAAATACATCTAGTGACATATTTGGGATGGATTTTAAATAACAGTAAATTCTCTTTTAATAGTGAAATATTTATGATTAGAGCACCATAATATTAGCATCTGCTTCAGGAAAATTAAATAATGCAGGTGGAAAGGGGGCAATGGGTGAAAGAGGTAGATATCCAACAATGCTTTGAAATACAAAAAGAAAGACAAGGCCACACTTGGAATACTGCATCCAGTTTTGATCACCCCAATGTAAAAAAGAGGTTGACACTCTAGAAAGAGTACAGAGAAGAGCAACACAGATGATTATGGGACTGGAGGCTAAAACATATAAGGAACGGTTGCTGGAATTGGTTATGTCTAGTTTAAGAAGAGAAGGATGAGTGGGGACATGATAGCAGTGTTCCAATATCTCAGGAGCTGCCACAAAGAAGAGGAGTCAAGCTATTCTCCAAAGCACCTGAAGGCAGGACAAGAAGCAATGGGTGGAAACTAAGCAAGGAGAGAAGCAACCTAGAACTAAGGAGAAACTTCCTGACAGTTAGAACAAGTAACCAGTGGAACAACCCGCCTCCAGAAGCGGTGAATGCTCCAACACTGGAAGTTTTTAAGAAGAGACTGGACAGCCATTTGTCTGAAATGGTATAGGGTTTCCTGCCTGAGCAGGGGGTTGGACTAGATGACCTCCAAATAATAATAATAATAATAACAACAACAACAAATTCGCTATTAATCAATTGCAAAAGGCGGCCTTACTAGGAACTGCTTCCATCCTGCGACGATATCTGTAGTACCATCAAACATCCACATCTGCCTATCCCAGGTTCTGGGTAAGGACTCAATAAGTAGAGAAAATGCCAAATCCAGTCTGAACATCTGGCTGACTGTGCGATGATCAATAATAATAATAATAATAATAATAATAATAATAATAATAATAATAATAATAATAATAATAACAAAAATGGTAGAAAAAAGAGCAAAGAAAATCAAAAATTGGTCAACACCAGGTGAAGATGAACTGCATGGGTTTTGGTTGAAACATCTAACTGTTATACACCCACTCATTGCCAAACAGTTCAACAATATACTACAAGGAGGAGAAATTGAAAAGTGGCTAACACCTGGGAAAACCTACCTAATAATGAAAAATCCAGCAAAAGGGGCAACACCAGGTAACTACAGGCCAATTACTTGCTTACCAACAACTTTCAAATTACTGACTGGTGTAGTAGCTGATGCAGTGCAACAGCATCTAGTTGAAAACAATCTCTTTCCACCTGAGCAGAAAGGAAACCGCCCCAATAGCAGAGGAACAAAAGATCAACTCCTAAGAGACAAAATGATCTTGGAAAACTGCAAGAGAAGGAAGACCAACCTGAATGTGGCATGGATTGACTACAAAAAGACATTTGACTCTCTGCCACATGACTGGATAATCAAGTGCCTAGAAATAACAGGAGTCAGTAGAAACATCAGAAAATTTGTGCAAAGATCGATGGCACAATGGAAGACACAGTTGCAGATCAATGGTGAGAGACTTAGAGAGGTTAATATCAAGAGAGGAATATTTCAAGGAGATTCATTATCACCATTACTATTTGTCATTGCACTGTTTCCTCTGTCAACAATACTGAATAACTCAGGATATGGCTATCAAACATCAAAAACATCTGCCAGACTATCCCATCTCCTTTACATGGTCTGAAACTGTATGGAAAAACATCATCTGAAATAGAATCGCTGCTCAACACTGTCCGTATATATAGCCAAGATATTGTAATGGAGTTTGGCTTGGACAAATGTGCCACACTTGCTATCAAACAAGGAAAAGTAGTGAAAACTGAAGGAATCAAGATGCCCCACGAAAATAACATTAAGAGTCTGGATGAGGAAGAGTACTACAAATACTTGGGTATCCTTCAAGCTGACAACATCAAGCACACTGAAGTCAAGAAAAAGGTTAGAGGTGAATACATCAAGAGAGTGAAGTAGATCTTAAAGTCCAAACTCAATGGAGGAAATACCATAAAGGCAATCAACACCTGGGCAATCCCAGTCATTAGGTACACAGCTGGAATAGTGGACTGGACTCAAGCATGGATAGGAAGACCAGAAAAATAATGACAATGAATCACGCCCTTCATCCACGCAGTGACATTGACCGACTTTATCTACCAAGGCAAATAGGTGGGCGTGGAATGCTACAAGTACATCAGATGGTTGAAGAAGAAAAAATGGCTTTGGAAGAATATCTGAAGAACAATGATGAAGATGCACTGGAATTAGTATATCAGGAAGGCTTACTGACTACTGGAGAGACCAAACTGGCCTACAAGAAAGACCAAATGAAGAACAGAATAGAGGCATGGGAAAACAAAGCACTACATGGCCAATACATTAAAAAAATAGCTGGGAAAGCAGATAATAACAAGACCTGGCAATGGCTAAGAGCAGGAAAATTGAAGAAAGAGACCGAGGGACTAATTCTGGCTGCACAAGACCAAGCCTTAAGGACAAATGCATATAAAGTCAAAATTGAGAAGACAGCAACAGACAGTAAGTGCCGCCTATGCAAAGAAGCTGAAGAAACAGTGGACCACTTGGTAAGCTGTTGCAAGAAGATTGCACAGACTGACTACAAGCAGCGGCATGACAAAGTAGCAACAATGGTGCATTGGAAGATCTGCAAAAAATATCATTTGCCTGTAAGCAAAAACTGGTGGGATCATAAAATAGAGAAAGTCATAGAAAATGATAAAATTAAACTGCTCTGGGACTTCAGAATTCAAACAGACAAGCACCTGCAACATAACACCCCAGACTTAACAATTGTTGATAAGAAAGACAAAAAAGTCTGGTTAGTGGATGTGGCAGTGCCTGAAGACAGCAGAATAGAAGAGAAAGAGCTGGAGAAGATAACAAAATACAAAGATCTCCAAATAGAAATAGAAAGACTGTGGCAAAAGCAAGCAAGGGTAGTACCAATAGTGATAGGCTCCTTGGGTGCAATCCCAAAACAACTGGAGCACCATTTGAACACCATTGGCATTGACAAATTCGCTATTAGTCAATTGCAAAAGGCGGCCTTGCTAGGAACTGCTTCCATCCTGCGACGATACCTGTAATACCATCCACATCTGCCTATCCCAGGTCCTGGGTAAGGACTTGATAGGTAGACAAAATGCCAAATCCAATCTGAACATCCGGCTGACTGTGCGATGATCCATAATAATAATAATAATATGCAACTTGGATTTCCTTCTAATCTGATTTTGGAGAATGGGAGCCAAGTTGATTTTTTCAAAGTAATGCCTGTCTCTTTTATTTACTTGAGGTTACATTTAGGTTGATACGTGTAGTCCTGGATGTATGACCACAACTGAACCCAAAATTTCTGTTGCTAAGTAACACATTTGTTAAGTGAGTTTTGCCCCATTTTACACCCTTTCTTGGCACATTTGTAAAGTGAATCACTGCATTTGTTAACTGAGTAATACGGTTGTTAAGTGATTCTGGCTTCCCCATTGACTTTGCTTGTCCAAAGGTCATAAAAGGTGATCACATGACCCCAGGACACTGCAACCATCATAAATATGAATCAGTTGCCAAGCGTCTGAATTTTGATCACATGGCCACGGGTATGCTGCAACAGTCATAAGTCTGAAAAACGGTCATAAGTCACTTTTTTGATGCCGTTGTAACGGTCACTAAATGAACTGTTGTATGTCGAGAACTATCTGTATAGTGAAGCTGTTCAAACTATCTGCCCTCAGACCTGATTCAGAAGTTACCATTATCACGAACTTACTACAGTAGATCTTTGCTCTTCACAGGCCACATTCTGAGCTGATTCACATTTCTGCTAAGGCATAATGTGCTTTGGCTTATTACCCCAAGGGTACTGCCAATCATGGCTACCCTTGGGGCTCTGCATTATCAAACATCAAATCAGAAAACCTATTAAGTACAATGTATAAGTGTGAATCCATACTAAATTCTCAGTCCCTTAAACTTCTTTTACAGTGTTTGTATTAATATTACAAGTAAACAGTATCCAATATTGTTTTAATATTATTGTGTGATGATATCACATTATCATTAATATAATTAATGTTAACCATGAGCCAGAGCTAGGAACCATAATCCCAATTTATATTTCAAAAAATAATTGTAAGAAAAACTACATTTGTTAGTGGACAGTTTAATAGTTCATACTAGGAAAAAGATTTTTCGTTCCAGAGAAGGAAAGATGAGGAGAGAGAAAAGAGAAATTTGCAAAGCAGATTGATTGTACCATCAGACAGAGGGGGTCCAGGTATAATGCTACATAGCTTCTAAGGAAGAACCTGGGCAGGAGAAAAATACAAGCTGAAGTTGTAGGTTCAACTTCTGCTTTTCCACATGGATCTCTTCTTCTCCAATGATTGCAATTGCAAAAATTGTTTGAAATGCAGAATATGCTGTGATCCCTTTTTAATTATTTAATTATTGCTATTGTAGCTATTGCTACAGACATTCCTTTAATGTCTGAACCACTGCCCTTAGGGTGGCTTCAGTTGATATTTATTACTACACTGTGTACTTTAAACATTAAAACACATGTATCTAGAAATTATAGATATAAAAAAATAAACAAAAGTAGAATAAAACAGCACAATAGCGATGATCACTAAGATTAATGCTATTCTGTGGTTGAGTGAGTGAGTGAGATGACTGAGAACAAAAAGAGACACTTGATTGAGCAATAGGATACATCAAAGTCCTGGTCAGATAGAAGAAGGCACAAATAAGCTTCATATTCTCTTCCAGCTTTTTCTTCAGAATAGGATTTGAGATTCCCTGTAGAAAGAGCAAAAGAGGAGCACATGGCTTGGGGATTCTATAGAGCCATCCCCATTTGGCATATGTCCTGGTGTCGAGGGATATTTTTAAAATACCTCAAAGAACTGCAGGAGGGAGAGCATCCAACCCACCCAAGGTGAAGATCTGGATAAATTTTCAGAACCAAAAAGGAGGAAGGATTGGATGATAGCACATACCCATTTGTGAGGGAAAATCCAAGGACTACAGGATTAGATACTAATCTTAGATTAACTTTAAAATATAATTTGCTTAAAATCTGGCATATTGGCATAACCTAAAGAGAAGAGGCTTTGCAAAAAGAGATCTAAAGATTGCTAGTAGCTCTTTTTAACAAGTTGATTTAAAACAGTGTCTAATTCTACTAGGGCCAGAAGCTCAGGGAAAAAAGCCACTGGGTTAAGTTTGGAAGAACATCAGTTCTAGACTGTGCAACTTCAAAGTCTATCCAGATCTTGCTTTTGGCTAGATTATTCGTCAATATACCATCCTGCTATTGCTAGAAAACCATTTGCCTAACACTAAGCTTGGAAGTTGGGACAACAGTGTAAGGTTAAATAATAGTGTTTCTTTTCACTTTGCAGATACATTTGCCAGCAAAGTAGCAGCAACACAAGATCAATATGCAGATGCTTCCATAGGTAACGTGACTGGTAGCAATGCTGTGAATGTTTTCCTGGGAATCGGCGTAGCCTGGTCCATTGCTGCAATCTACCATGCAGCCAATGGGGAGTCATTTAAAGTCAGCCCAGGCACCCTGGCTTTCTCTGTCACCCTCTTCACTATATTTGCTTTTATCAGTGTTGGTGTGCTCCTCTACCGGCGAAGACCAGATATTGGAGGTGAGCTAGGCGGGCCACGGACTGCCAAGATTCTGACCTCATCCCTCTTTGTGCTGCTCTGGCTCTTGTACATATTTTTCTCATCTTTGGAAGCCTACTGCCACATAAAGGGCTTCTAAAGAAACTATTGAAGATAGTATCTATATGTATCTATATATAGAAAGAGAGATATATAGATATAGATCTAATATTATTGAACAGAAAAGAAAAAAATTTGCCATGTTCACTTACCTATTGATGGAATGTAGCTTTGTGGTAGGAGTTTGAAATCTGCAGGAGTCTTCACCAGGAGCAGCAGCATTGCAATGGAGACATGGATGCAGGGCTATCTTTGCAACTCAGCCTACAAGGTCATGATGGAGTTACTTTGTATTTCCCTTTTCCCTCCCTCTCTAAGAAGCAGTTGGATGTCAAAGGGGGTTGTTTGGAAAGACAAAAAGCCAACTTTAAGTTATATCATATTGGGTGAAGGACTTAAGTGGGAGTTCTTGACTTTCTGACCAATATCTTTGTTGCCTTCTTCATTAACTCAAGAACAAGCTGAATCACCACCCTGAGTGACACGTGAGTCTAGAGTGACCAACACAATCCAAAGGGGTTCCAACCCTATGCTGTTTGTGGGGAGGATAATTTTGTTTGAGGTTTTGTTTTGTTTGTTTTTATTTTTGCTTCGATCCCTCCTTAACTGCCTGGTTGTTCAGATGTTATTAAACCACAGATAACCCTTTCCCATTATTTCAGAACTCTATTTATGACCAGCACACTCTTAAAAGAAAAATAGCCACCTAAACCTAAACAATTCTCCATTTGCTCCAGACTGTGGATTATAGACTCATGCCCAAAGCCCTAGCATTTTCCCCTGTATTTCTGACATATTGTGTCAGATAAATTTCAGTTCCCTCCTATTCCCTTTCCATCTACCAATAGATGCTGCTATGCTCCTTCTCATACTCCAAATTGGGAATGCTTTCATTGTACTTGTTGTAACACTTTGCATGAATGAAGCAAACCATAATCTGTAATATAGCATTGAATAGTGATAGTGAAGCTGACTGACCATTGAAAATGCAAGCGTGTTTCTTTCCATTTCTTTTCAATGAACAGAGTGAGAGTCCAGAAATGGCTGGTATTCATTCTGTTGCTCTCTATAAGGTTCCTAAGAAGCAATAACTAAGAGCTGGAGAAAGTCTTAGGTTTTAAAGGGAAGAATTTGTGCAAGTTTTATCACATAGAAAGGGATCTTTCTATGTTTACCAGTCAAGTACAGGACTCAGAACGTTGTTTATACTGAGTCAAGCCAGTGACCTATCTAGCCCAGGACTCTCACTTAGAGTGATTCTCTGAGGTCTCAGGGAGAAGCCTATCCAGCCCTGTAACTATTTTAACTGGTGATTCCATGAATTGAACTGTTGGATAGATGACACGCTAGCATGTGCTTTACCACTGAGTTTTGTGGATGAATTTAGCCTGTTGGAATTAATTGGACTTAGCATTGTTCATTTTAAGTATGAACAGCTGTGTTGAACCCTAAATCACCAGAACATCCTTGAAGTTTTTTTCAATCGCCCATTTTACCTGGAGTATTTATGCTGCATATGCTCCAGATGCCAATTCTTTGGTCTCTTGCATTGTTTATTCTCTCTGTTCCTGCTCTTGCTCTATGGAAATCTCTGAACCTTTGTAAAGGGCAACCCACCATCAGAATACTGTAATTCAAATTTATTCTCCCATGCAGAAGTTAAAAAATTCTACCACTCATTGGCCTTCAGAACAACAATGAGTCCTAGCAAGAAATGTGACACTATCTGGATTGTCTGGCAGTGAATTGGCATTTATCTCCATGAATTAAAAATATCAGTATTGCTGTAGACATTGATGAGTACATGTCAACAATGTACGTATCAATGTTCAGAATAGATTAATGTACCAAAAAGAAGCTTTGCTTGGAATCTATCATTTAGGGACAGTGCAACTGAATAGTCCAGTGATATTTATTTTGTAGCTGGTTTGTCTATTGATTTCTTCATGCGCTGTCTTTCTATTATTATTTTTTTCATTCTTCAGAACTCCCTCACCACTACATCTGAAATATCTAAAGCAAATTTAAAAGGGGATTCAGGAGAATGAAACTTTTTGAAATAATTCATTTTTCATTATTAACTAAAAATAGATTCTATTTATGGGTGCCAGAGAAGTAAAAATGTACATGACTTTGCTGCTTCCCTAGTCACATGGAAGCAGCATGGGTAGCCATGTGCAGTACAGGTTTTATACCTTAACAATTGTCATAAACACTGTAATTGCAGTGGTAACCAGTTTCTGAAAAAGAAAACTGACACGTAATTAGGGGAAGACCAAAGCCATAGATGTTTCCATATCATAAAAATATAGCCGTGCTTACAATGATTAAGGAGCTGTTCTCTAGAGTATCAGTGGAGAATCTATGGCCCTTTGGGTATTATTGGACTCCAGTTCCCACCAGTGTGGCCAGTAGTTCAGAATCATGGGAGTGATATTCAATAATATTTGAAGAGTCTCAGGTTTATCCACCTCCAATTGGAAAATGAAAAGCTATATATGTAAAATATATTTCTCATTGTTACTTTAGCAGTGCTGCTGGATGTCGGTTGAAAAAATATGTAGATATATTTCCAAGTATTTCTCCCAAATATAGAATGATATTCTTTTGGAGTTTATAATTGCTCCTTTATTCACGGGGGTGCGTGACTGATAATGACAATTCTTCTATCACATGATCCATTTTCTCATGGACAGTAACATACACATCCAGTATGTTATGTAAGCAAAGTGGCTGTATGAATTCGCATCCATAAAATCCTACAATCCTTAAATCATACAATCACAGAGTTGGAAATGACATGCTCAGTGCATTAATTAAATGGAAAGGCTAGAATACCAATGTCTGTAGATCATTCTATAAAACTGCAAAAACGTGAGACATATTTGATGCTGCAGGGAAACTAATTGTATTATAATGACTGAGTGAATAAAGTAAAATAGGGGATGCAATTTTTATGCATGTAGAATTTCATACTAGATTTCTATCTGTATATGCAGCCCAGACTCATTGAAATTAATGATAATTTTTCCAGAGTAATGGATCGGATGCCTCGGGTATTTAGGGATTCTGTTCAATATAATGGCAACCTTTTTCCCATTAATTTCAGTGCAGAGGCTACCTATTCAGATGCAGTTTTATTTGCGCATGATCAAGCACACAGAAAGCTTTAAAAGGCCTAGTCTACATCACCAGTGAATGTACATTACCTGTGGCTATCTCAAATCCTTAGTAGTATCTCTTAATCTAGCTATAAAATTAAAAAAATAAAATTGTTCTCACATCACATGGTTAAAAGGATGGAAGTTAGACTAGGTTTTCAATCATTTTGAACAATCTGTGGAATGCTTGAATTCTGAGTTTTTCTTTTAATTTTTTTTTTCCTGTAAATTGTTTATCACTTTTGAAGGCTTTTTGTTCTCTGTTTAATTTCATTTGATTTGTCTGTTATGGACTGGGGGGGGGAATAATATTTGGGTTGTTCAGGGATCATTAATAATAATAATAATATGATTATTGTGTTTGTGTAAAATTATTTCATTTCATCTGTTTTCTTTCATTTTATTGATGTGTGTAATGCACATTAACAGAAAAAGTGTGTACACTAATTGTGATCAACAGTACACTGAGACACAGATAATAAAATGTATAATTAGTTTTGATTTAAAGATCAGTACTGCTGCATTTTCCCTCTATTCTGTCTCATTTCTTTTTTCCATTAATTCATCTCATCTAGTTCATTTTGTTGTTGTTGTATTATTATGAAATGATATATTATTTGCTTAAACTAGAAGTATAATGGATTCTAAAAAATCTGGGAAATGCATTTACCAATCAGAAATTTTCTGATGCTTCAACTCTATCTAGAAAATGCAGTCAGAGAAACAACCATATTATTTGTTAATTCCTTACAATGCATACATTCCTCATAATTTATTCTATTTAAAATATTGTACTACTACAAAATCACATTAATTCAAAATACATAATTTTACATTTAAAATTATCACATAATAGTCTTTCATCCTTCAAAATATAATTTTATTTAAAAGCTTGGATTTTAAAGTTTTAAAGTCTGACTTTCTTTTCATTAACACATAATCAAATCAAGGAATTTACCCCAAAATTCACATAATTACAAACATCATAATATTTTAACAAGCAAATTTTTAAATTAGTAACCTTACTCATTTTATATATATTCACATTTGTTGTTTTGTTTCAGTATTGAACATTAACTTATTTTTAAAGTTCCATTTCATATATTTCCTCATTTTCAATGGTCACTGTCCTACAATTGAATACTAAAATCTCAGTTAAACAAATAAAAATGCATGGCAAAAAAAACCCTTCTTAGAATTGTAATGGATGCAGGTGTGTCAAACTGTTAATTCAAGTAGACCAGAAGCAGTATGTGGCCCAATTAGTAGCCAATATCAAGAAGTAGGCATGTATTCAAAACAGGAAGAGCTAGGGAAAAAGCAAGAGAAGATAGCCATTTGGGGCCAAGACAAGTTGAATTTTGAAAGTGTTGTCACAAAAGGCTGTCATATAGAATAAAACACCTTAACAGCTGACAGGTGTTGTCTGCCACTACAGTTTCCTTTGTCTTTTCCTTCAGGTAGGTCTGCACACTGCAAACAAATGAATTATAGTAACTATAGTTACCCATCATTTCATTTTCTAAGGCTGAGCTAGGAAATGAGAAGCTGTCTGGTAATTGTGTTGTGCCAATTATAGAGTACCAAAAGGGGGAGAAGCCAGCAAGGTTAAAGCTCTAAAGTAAAAGGAACATATACTTGGGTAACATTTTCATGCCGTCTTGTTGAGATTGGGGATCATGCCCTGAAGATACATAAGGTTTTACAAGGCTGGCAGACCAAGATTGGTCCTTGAGAGATGGTTGTACTAGGACAATGTTCTCAGCTGAATTTGCTAGGTATCAGTAGAACTAAAGGATGCAGAGGAGGTAAGTAGAGAAAGTAACATGCTTGTGTATTGATTCAGGCTTACCCTCAGTCTGGCACATCATTCCATCCTCATTTATGATGCCAGCCTAAATCCCATTCAAATGATCCCTGGTAAATGCACAAAACTAGTAATGCCCAGCTAGAAATGAATAGAGGTCTGGTACATACAAGTAATGCATTGAAAATCTTACCTTAAACCATGCTCTCTGGCACAGGTTTGTGGAATAGAGGAAAACAAAATTTGACTGATTATTATTTTGTTAAGGATACTACATTAGGCTGCAAAAATCCGGACAACCACTGTGGCAGCGAATGTTACATCATTTCTTTGCTACTATCTAGTGGTCTTCCAAATTTTTACTGTTCACATCTAGTAACCCTAATTTCTGTAACTCTCAAAGTACAAGAGCATTCATAAAATTATGGAGATTATTCTGTTTGTGGTTCTAGAACTAGAAATCTGCTTGTTCCTAATGTTAAAAAATGTATGTTATGATAATTGCTTCTCTCCCTCATGCAAGTACACAGAGACTTATTTGTCCTCATAAAATAATTGTATTTCTCAGGTTAATAAAGTTCTATCATTTATCTGTATGAAAGCCCCTTTCAAAGCACGCAGAAGAGATTCTTCATAGAAAGAATGTTCATATCTCATTAAGTATTCCATTAATACATCTTCTGCTAAGAAAGTTTTACTAGAAACAATAGCAATACCCGGCATTTCCCAAGGCAGTGGTCTCAACCTTGCAAACTGGCTGGGGAATTCTGGGAGTTGAAGTTCACACATCTTAAAATTGCCAAGGTTGAGAAACAATGATTTAAGTATTAGAAGGATCTTTTCCTGTTAAAATGAACAGAGGTTTATCATCATCACCCAAAGTTATGGGATGGGTGAGGGGGAAAATCACAGAAGATTGTGATCTTCAGCACAGATGTGCTAATAGAAAAGACCTCTCCTATGAATTCAGTGGTCCAGTTTCATGATAGGCAGAGTTGCAGTCCCAGGCAATTCCATAGTTCACTATGAACTTTTCTTCAGCTAGGTCAATGATGGTAAACCTTTTGAGCTCGTCAAAACTTTGAGAAATGCCTAACTTGACTCTGCAGTTGCGTCTCACACACATACTAACAAACAAAAGAGAAATAATTCTCTATCTCACCCCTCCCCCCCCATCTAGGCCATCCTGAACAATGGCACTTCAGCATCAGGTGTTGGTGAATACTGGCGTGTCACTCAAAATGTCATGGTATATCACCTTTGACACCCTTGTCATAGATTCACCATCATTGAGCTAGGAAGTTAGAAGAAAAAACACACAAAGGGACAGCATGCAGTGTTAGTCTTGCTCTGTCTAAGGTTATGATGCAGTTGCCAAAAAGAAAAAAAAGCAATCGCTGCTTTAGAATCTATGTTTTCCTTGATCAGTGCAAGCATGAAAAATCGCTAACTTTTAATTCAGTGTCAGCAGAAAAGTTAGCAATTATTTGGAAACAACTGCTCCTCATATTTTATAATTTATGAAGCATTTTAATTTGAAAAATGCTTTGCAGTCCTCATTTGTTCAATTTTGCAAAATTCATTGCACAAGATTGCCCCATCACAGCTGAAACCAAAACCAAGAGAAGGTTAGGCAGTATTCATCAGTAAAAAGTTAATAAATAGTTGGCAGTATAACAATACTTCCAAAATCTTAATGCTGGAATAACATCACCCTTTCTTAACACAGCTAATTGTAACATCATGAAATCACTGCTGTGGCTGTTTTACAAAAGGAAACTGAGAAGCACAAAGATCTGAATCAGATGTTAAACTTTGGTATACTGTATAGGTGAAAGATTAGGGCTGACTAAACATTATTGTTTCATTGGTTCCTATCCATTCCGACTCAAAACTGGCCCAGGAAAGTTACTTCAAAGGATTTCAGAGCAATAATGCATTTGGAGAATAATTTGGAAAGCCACTGAATATGAATAAGGAGGGACTGCAGCTTCATTATTGGGAAATTCAATAAACAGCACTGCAATCAGCAAAAACATAAAGAAAATAATGGATAAATGAATTCAAGGTAGGAAATGCCCATTCCCCCAAGCTTTTTCATTCATGCAAAGCAGCCAACACTGTTCAGAAATTTCTAATAGAGTCTCGATACAAATACAGTGCACCACAGAATCACAATATTTCTTTTAATCATGGGATGTGGGAAACGGGGCTAACACTGGATTGCTTGCTCTTTAAGAAGGATGGAATATGGCACTCCACATCCAATTCCTTTACATCAGGGGTTCCCAACCAGGGGTGCTCACACTTCCTGAAGGTGCAAGATGATATTCCAGGAGGTGGGAAAAGGTTGGGAGCCGCTGCTTTACATCAATCATGGAAAGCTGATGTAGTGGGCTTCCGTCTGAAAAAGAAAAGTGAAGGGAATTAGGGCAAGAGTCAGACATCACAGTAATATATGGCTCTTGTTAGAAATAGATGGCAGTTTGACTCAGGAGGTGCCTGCTTGGTGGAAACATACCAAACTCCCAATTTTAGGCTAGCAGAAGCTATAGTGATGATGTGAAAATCTCTGCTCTCGTACTCATGGGGCAGGTAGATTTCTCTTCCTTATTTAGATCAAATTCTGAAACTCAGACAAGAAATCTAAATCAAACCTATTAATTAACAATTTAAAGACTTGCCCAGGCATGTAAAGCAAAATAGTACTATAGAATATTCCTTCTACAATTTTTCTATTTTCCAGGATAACTACATAATTCCTTTTTAAATTAATGCCAGTGACTATCTAGCCGAGATTAACTTCCATAATACTTATACAAAGCACTTTCTCTTTATCAAGAAAACAACAAGATATTTTAAGAAAAGTTGGTCTGCAACCTTCCCCGGCTATACAATTTTCTTGATAGATTATAAGTGGATTATGAGAAAATTAAATACTGGATGAGTCATCAGTCTTTCCCCACACACACACACACACACACTTCTTTAAGCAAGCTATGTACCATTAACAGGAATAAAATAAAGTAAAAAGAAATCTGTGCAATGTGTGCATTTAGATGTGCAGTCTTGTTTAAAATAAACCCAGAAAAATTTGTAGTTTGCCAGCTGATTGCTTGCAAGGAAAGGAAAAGATGAGAGACTGACCGTGAGAAAACTTCCAAATAAAGCATGTATCTTGCGTCACAAAACATATAGCTAACTTATTAAAATTTCTAAAATTCATGGGCAATTTGTAAAAAAAAAATCAAATTGTACAGTATGGGAGATCTGATTTCCCCAGTTAAGAAAGCAACACTGAAGAAAAATTATTTGATACCTACATATCTTAAAACATTATTTAGAAAAGTTATTCTCCCTTTGACAATGAATTGCTGTTTCACTGGGATGTGGAATAAAGCTTTCTTGCCTTTTTAGCTAAACAAGGCACTACATTTGTGGGGTTAGTGTGGTGTGATATATGTCTGTTGGTCAAGACAAAATGTTTGTTTCAGGTAACATAAAGAGTCCTAGATTTTCCTGTGTACTTGCTCCCTTGGTAAGTTCTCTTTCCACTAAAGATTTAAAGTGTTTTGTTATTATAGTCAGGGTAACATAAAGTAGCACAAGACATTTTATTTTGGTTTAAAACAGAAACATTGATTTTTTTTTTTAACCAAAACTGCCCTTTTGCATTTAGGTATAATCACTACAGACCTGGTATAAACTTCATGCCATTTTAAAAGAAAAGAAAGGTTCCTTTATAAGCACTCCATTATACAATGCAGAAAACTATATAAAGCATATCCACACTATACCATACATGCAAACTAATCTAACAGTCTTTTTTCCCTTTGGAGATATAGATATATTGTAACACTCAGAGACAATTGGCTAATTAGACACGGCATCTGAGACATCAAATATTATTCTAATGTCAAAAGGAATTTTGGTTGAAAGGAATTAATATTGAAGCTGAGGGCCTTCCACATTACACAAGGGTTACTCCAGAGTTTGTTACAAAAATTACAAAACAGAAAATTATTCTTTGTGACCCCATGGGTAGGATAATATCAAATGGGTTTAATAGACAGAGAGTCTTGGGCTCATGTTAGGAAAACTCCCAGTGATAAAAGAAATTCAATATTGGAAATAATGCTGTAGTACTCCAAAGGTGTTTAGGTAGTCCCTTGAATGACTATGATTATTATGTACCATTAAGTTATTTTCAACTCCTAGCAATCACAGACATCCTTTGTAAAAAAACGGGGAGGAAGGATTAATTAATTGGAAGCCAGATCCATATACAAGCAATATAAAATTAAAAGTTATCGAATTATGCTTACAATTTTTCCAAGCCAAATTCATAGTTAACAGAACAGATATTCTGGATTCTCATAAACATCTAAATCTTTTATCAAAAATCAAATTTCCCAGTAACTTCCAAAACAGGTCCTTCCCAAGTCTTCCCAAAGTCCTTCCTCTCAGAGGAACACCACCATTTATTCTGTGCCGTTCAATTTTCAGGCATCCTTTGTCTTAGCCTCTCCCCTGTTGTTGTTGGCTATTAAACTGCATTAATGTCTACTGACCCTTAAATTGAGATGATGCAGGTATGAATGGCACCCAGTTTTCAGTAAATTCCCTCTAGAAGAATATATAGGAATTTTGTTTTTGTTTTCTGGAATTATAGGATTCTTTTTCTATATTGTTTGATGTTCTTGATACCAGCATGAGTCAAGGGGTAGGTTAGAAAAAATGACCATTTTGTTCTTTTTTTTTTTTTTTTTGCTATCAAGCAGCTTTTCTTTTTTTGTCTTACATTTCTGCAAAAGCCTAACAAAGATGAGGTGGTCAGCATGACAGGCAAAGCTCTAAGCTTGCCTATACTGTTAATCTATCTAGCATATTTAGCTGATTTATAGCCTGCTAGAGTGAAAGAAACCGACAGCTAGGTTTCTCGTATATGTATAAATATTAGTATTATTGGTGATTCTTCTCTCTTGTAAAGAACGTTAGTGTCTTACTCCTTCTACATAAACATGTTTGTATTGGTACATGTTCTGTTGCTTGTGGGTATTATTTTGCACATTATCATCTTCCATCTTTCCCCTACTTACTTTTATGTGTAAATTTTGCAAATAGAAAGATTTCCAGTTAGTGAAATTCTTTCCCTGTTGGTTTCCTGTAGTATTCATATTTTTGGGGGGATTTCATTAACTCCACGTTTTGGCTATAAATGCTTCCTATAAACAAATTAGACTGTTTCAATTAGATTGGAAGAAAAGGAATAGAAAAACATACCTGTTTGAGTTATTGTTAGTTCTATTTTTAAATATTGAGGTAGCACATTCTACATTATAGATCCTTCATATTCACATTTTCCATGCCTCTGATAATATTGTAATGTCTTAACATGAGCATAGGCCTGCTTCTTTTTTTAAAATAAGCCTGGCTGCAAACTGCCAAAAGCTTTGGCTTCTCCAGCTACAGTTTCTTATAGTGCCATACACAGTTCCTTCAAGATTACCTTAGTATACTGAGGGAATATTATGTCTCCTCAGCAGAATCGTCTCTCTAAGGTCTTAGGTGGTGGGAATCCCCAACTCCATTACTTTCTGTTCAGATAAGAAACCAGGTACTTTTCACAAGATTACTCTGAGTATCCAGTTTTTGCTATTTCCCCCCCAAGTTTTTTTTTTTTTTGCAATTTCAGATGCAATGGCCAATCCAAAAAAAAAAAAATCATGGCAACCTATCAGTTTTGTAGTTAATGCAGGGATTCATAATATAAGCTTTCAAAATGACTGAAGGTGTCATAATGCACATAGCTGTAAACTTAATGCATAGCAAGCTTTTACAAAATTAGTTTGGAGGGATATTTTGAGGGATTTTTAGGATAAAATGGGAGTGATTTCCTTTCCAAAAGCTCCCTGCTCTCATTTTCTTCTCTTCAACACACACACACACACACACACACACAGAGAGAGAGAGAGAGAGAGAGAGAGAGAGAGAGAACAACAACTTATGGAAAAATGGGCGCACCTCCTCATGTGATATCTCTACCAGGCCTCCGGTTCTCTGGAAGAAACCTTTGCAAGTCATAGTCCCTTTTTAGGCTGCCCTCCACTTCACAGAAATATGGCAGTACTTCCAAAATAAATATATGATCTAGATATTTTGAACAAGTTCATACAGGATTATTTTTTAAGCTCTCATCCTAGGTATTACTTTGTTTTAATGGAGGCCTATATTTAGAAGGGTGAGTAGTTTGTCATCAATTCCGATGAAACCTGGCACTGCCAAGTGAGAAAATGCTAGGAATTCCATTGTCATTCTTCTTCATATTCACATTTTGCATTCCTCCGATAAAATTGTAAAGTCTTAGCATGATCATAGGCTTTCTTCTTTTCTTAAAATAATGCTTTGCTTAAGAATGCCAACAGAACTAATGTTGCTACTACTTAACTTTGCAATTTGTAATTACAACGATCATTTAATATTCTGTGTGAGTGTAGAAGTATTTATCTATTTTAAGAAGGAAGGAAATGAAGACAAATATTCCCTAAGTTTTATTTTTATGCATTATGATCCTATTTAAAAAATGAGGAGAGACAGAAATAACATCCTTTTAGGGGAGAAAAAAAAATAACACTATGATGCTGATACAATATCCCATTCTGAATGCAAATTCTGCTGGAGATTTTCTTTAAGATGTTGAAAAATATAATACTTTAATATTTTAGATGAGAGCCAAAAATTAATTATCAGTGAGATTAAGCATATCAGTATGAATGTCAACTAATAACCAGAAACCCTCATGCCAAAATTGAGTTTCTGAATATTACAATAGATGAAAGTTTCTAATTTAATCAACTCCTACTAACAATTTCCAGCTTCTCTGCCCTTAATGCACAGAAATGTGCTTAGGTCTCCTACAATCAAGCAAAGTATTTACTTTGGGTTTATTTTAAACTTAATTGTTTTCAGCAGGATGAAAACTTGAGTGTAACTTTATTATTTAGGCCATGATCTCTGTTTCTACAGCAACAGCCTTTTAAAAATAAGGTTCCCCAGACCATATATACAGATCTAATTCCCTCCACTGAAATTAGCAAAGAAGGTTCAGCATGAGGAGGAATGGTATGCGCATAGACATAGACGGAATGGTTGGCCTGGAAATGCTTGCATTTGATTAAAGGTTTTTGCACCATGAAGTACTGTTTTCTCTCACATTCATAAGGTACATTTATGCCTTGTCACATCCAGTATCTGGGGTTGATCTTGGACTAAATCTTAAGAAATGCATGCTGAGCTTTTGCTCTCATTGGTGACTTTTCTTGGGAATCTATGTAAGTTACAGTATATCAACATAAGATTTAAGTGCAAACATAGAAAGGAGGCTTGGATCCATCCTCACAACAGATGTTATCAGGAGCAGAGTCAAATCAATAAATAGGCAATACCATCTTGATTATCTCTTCCTTTGTAGAACTAGACAGAAGGATACTCAGAAGTGGCCACGTTCTTTCTTTGTTCCTGGATTCTTCTTAGATCACCATATTTGTCGGTCTGGGTATAGATGGAAAATACTTTTTAAAAGCTATCTTTGCTTCATTTTAGGCTTATAAAACTTTCACATGTCATTTCGTAACAGACTGGACACTTAAGAAACAACTTCACAAAGATAAGACTGTGTAGTGCTGGTTGATTTGAAGCATAAAGTTGTGTTTGTGTTTTTCCACTGTGGCATGGCAGATTCCGTTCCCTTTCAACAGCTGATATGGTGGGATTTGTCTCAGCGTGTTCTCTCAAAAAGCTGACTCCAAGTACCACAGTCAAGCATTTTCTTCACTAGGACAACTCAAATTTACAAAATAGTATGCTATATGCTATAGTATATATATTGTAGCATTTTGTGTATAGGATTTCTGTGGAAAAGGCTGGTTTGAGGGTCTTTTTTGGTAAATTCCTAATGTACATACCAGTTCTGAAGTTTGGAGATACTATACTGTCAGATACTAATTATCTTTGCTTTTTAAGTTCCTTAATGATTAGACGTGAACACCTTTATTTCTTCAATATCCAGTAAAGACTTAACAGACTTTCAATTCCGTGGAACTGTTCTGTGTTGAAGCACTTATTATGCTTCACATATAAGAAAGAACAACAATTTCAAGCACTTTAAATTTGGAGTACAGACACAGGGGTCCAGAAAAAGAAAAGCCTGTCAACAGAATGTTTATTTGCTTCTAATGTGCAGAAAGGAAGGAAAGGAAGGAAGGAAGGAAGGAAGGAAGGAAGGAAGGAAGGAAGGAAGGAAGGAAGGAAGGAAGGAAGGAAGGAAGGAAGGAAGGAAATCTACTTTTTCATTGTTCCATGGATTTCTTATTGTTCAATGAAAGAGGAAGCATGTCACTAACTTCATAATGGGTTTCTAAAGCAGAAGTAAAATCAGAAGAACATTATAACAAATGGACGATAGAAAATATCTGGCCAGGGGAACCGCCAAACTGTTCCCCTTCAAATGTGTTGGACCACTACAGCCACAGTCATTGTGGCAGAGGTTTAACATATCTGCAAAACTTTAAGTTGGAAAAGGCTGCTTTATAGAGCTTAAGAAGTGAAATAATTTTAAGAACATCTAATCACAAACTGATAGGATTCCTTTTTAGGATGTACTACCTTGGAGTACTGATAATAGATCACAAGACTGAAGGCCATCTATTTTATTTAAAAATAACAATATTGCCTAGTGCAAGGATAATTATGTTAAAAATAATCCAGACCCATCTGAAGAACTCTTCCAAAAGGTTTTATCAGTTTTGCTTTTTGTATAGAGGTTCATTGAAATAAGTAAATTATGCACTGTAGATGTAACAGGTCAAGGCAGCTCAACCCCATTATATGTCTTATCAAATAAATCCAATTTCATTTAAAATCATGAAATGCAAAGTGAGCAGCCCTTTACAGGGAAAATTATCCTGCCTTGTATGAGTTTAATGACTATAGAATGCCAGTTGTTTGCTAAATTACATGGCACTATTTAAAGCCTAGTAAGTATAAATTATATTTAAAGAGTCCTCATTAAATCTGTCCACATGTTTAGCTTTATTTTTAGTTTTTAAACTAGGGCCTGATTTGATGACCTGTATTAGTTTAACATTACTACAAAATGAAGTGCTTTGGTAATCATAAGCAGTCCTGTAAATAAGATCCCTCAGTCCTTGTTCAGTGATTCTTTATATCATTTCACTTATTCAAAAATCACAGGATTCCCCAGAGTGTTTACCTTGTACTTAATTATGAATTCCTAAATTAGATTCATAGAATTGAGATGAACTATTTAATCAAATGAGCCATCAAATCTAACATTCTCTTCAGTGCAGGAAACCAAATTAAAATATCTATAACAGATGGTTGTCTAAACTCTGCTTGAACTTACCCAACAAAGGGCAGGCCACCACCTCTTTAAATTGTTGCACTATTCAGAGTACAAGGACAGAGGACTGGTCTTAACATATCTTCAGTGTGGCATTTCTGTCATTTCTCCCTTGAATCTTTTCGAAGCTAAATGAAGCAAGCACCCTCAATCTCTCTTCATAGGAGTTTTGTTTCTGTGCACCTGATCATCCTCATTGCTCTTTTCTGAACTTTCCTAATTCTCCAAGTCTTCCTTAAAGTGCATTTTGCAGAATTGGACACAATGTTTTAGATAAGTTTTCACCAGCAGATAAGAAAGTGTGACTATTACTTCCCATGATTTAGCAACTATCTTCAATTGAGGCAGCTTCAAATTGCATTTGCCTGTTTTGCAGCTGCCACAAACTATTCACAGTCAACAATTATTCCTACTTTTTTCATAAATACTCTTATTTTCATTCTGTATTTGTGATTTTATTTATTTAATCTACATAGATAGGGTTGTTTCTTTGTTTGTTCAGATTGTTAAGTTCACCCACCAAAATCTTTTTTAATTTTATTTGTGCATTCTAACAAATTAATTATCCAACGGTACTGTGCTACCTGCAGATTTGATTTTGCACCTGTTCATCCAAATTATTAATAAAAAATATAGTGAGTCCAAGAATGAAACTTGTAGAAGCCTATTTAATATTTCTCTCCAATCACTGATAAACAATTTCTGATTACAGACTCATCTACATTTTTTTAGACTCATCTACATTTCAGTTTAACTGTCAAGCCATCCAGCCTATATTTAACTAACTTGTTGATCAGGTCATGAGATACTTTATCATATGTTTTATAGGTATTCTTACATTGTTTAGTGATCACAAAACAACTGAGCTACTCACTTGTTAACTAAGAAAAAATATCACTGTGCTTATCATTTTAGTTTGGTTTTCCTTTGCTTTATAGATCTGCAAAGATTGTAAATGCCAGGATTGACTACAAGTTACTTTTTCATCACCATTGTAACTATGAGTAAATACTGAATGAGGCAGTTGCTAAAGGCTTACTTGTACTAAAATCAAGATATATTGTATTAGAGCATTTACACTGTCTATCAAGAAAGTTAGACAGAAAAAAAGATTAAATTTATCTGGTAAGTCTGCTAATTACTGCATCAAAGGCGCTCACAAATTATTATTATTTTAGCAAGTGGTATTCCTTGGTTGACCACCAAGGAATCCCGGGCTATAGACCAGACTGGAAAGTAAAAAAAAAAAAAAAAAAACCATGGAAGAAGCTAATAGAAAATAATGAATGGTTGTGAAATTTAGCTTGACTTGAATAATGTTTTACCTTTTCTGATCGATTATTTTATAATCTGCTCCAGAATCACCCTAAGCAGGCTGACTGATATGTATCTTATAGGATCACTGTTTCACTTCCTGAAAGTAGCAACATTTATTCTCTTTCAATCTTCAGGATTGCTCAAAGATAATGGACAGATGAGACCCAGTGTGGTTCATTGTTAATATGTTGGAACAGGACTACAAAAATTGTGGTTCAATGCCACAATAAGTTTACTAGTAGCTTTGGACCACTCATTCTCAGCTAAGCCTTGAGCTCCTGAAGGTGAGATGGGATATAAATCTTAAACAACCAAGGAACTAAGCATCAATCAGCTAGTACTTTAAAACCTGTCCCAGAGAAGTAACAGTTTAAATTAAATAGTATTCCCTGACCATTTTACCATCAGTCCCAAGCTTCATTCCCCTTTCAAAATGGCTGATGAAAAACATTGCTTTTTATTGATGGAAGCTGAATCAAAATAGGGTTATTTTTCTGTTGTTACCTGACTGCATATTGCAGTCTGAATCTGCTGATTCTGTTCTCTTTCTTTGAACACCTTTTTAAAAAGCTTTTTTTTTTATTGTTCTGAGAATTCTTCACTAGCTTCTGCTTGTCTGCAAATGGAAGAGATAGGTCAAGCAAGTATTTACTGAAAATATTTAAAGAATTCTTTAAGAGAACTATAGCTATTATCTCTAGTTTCTTTGTTTTATCAATTTATTTTCTGCTTTTTCCAAATGATTGTATGCATGAATGCAGATCCCAGTTATTAGTAACAAAAAGCCTGTTCACAATGCAAGAATGAGTACAAGCATTTAATAGAATTAACATATAGTTAGTCTAATTGACTGATATAAGATAAACTCATTTCTTATGCAGAATGAAGATGAAAATGATTAATCAGACTTTAATCTAGACCTCTATTAACACTGATGAAGAAGTTTTGTATCTCTTCCTCCAGTCCAAGCCTTTTAAAAGGGGATTTTTAAAGGCAAAAAGAAAAAAAAATATTTGGATTAATTACCATAGCAAACCACAAAATATTTTGAATGTATACATGAAACATTTATACTGATACTAAATAAATATCCAAAGTTGCCTTCCTCAATCCGATGCCTAGATGTATTGCAACAGAATCTGTTGCTGGCCTGCTGTTATCCTGTAGATCACCTCGAAAAAGTACATCTAAAGCCACAGATGGATAATAAGCAATGTTTCAGCCCTCAAAAAGCACTTCAACATAAATACCACATAGAAAAATAACAATTGAGAATATCCCTAAGGGCAAATAAACTGGCATAAGATGTGTGCCATGTACCAGGCACATAACAATATGATCATTACAAAGTTTTTTAATTGGTTAATAAACATATTTATTAACTTACTGCAGTATGTGTTCATTTATAGTTTAATCTTCTCAAGCAATTTTGCTTTGTTATCTTAGCTTCCAATATACACATTATAACCAAGGAATTGTACTGGAGATGGAGAAGCGATGTAGAATAAGCTAGAAATAAATGCTGCTCTCCCCGCCATTTATCCAGCACCCCCCCTCACATGACTTCCCAGCCCGTTATCTGATTGACAATTCAGAGGGGAGAAGGCTCTCTAAGAAATGGCATATTAAACCAACCAACTTCTCTACTGCCAGTAATGCCATCTGATTGTGTCCCGTCCATTATTGCTTCTAGACATACATAAAGGTAACAGGAAGTTCTAACATGAGCCTCCTCTGACCTTATTTTTGTGAGAATCTAAATTTAGCTGCTAAATTTATGGCATAAATAGAGGATGCTGACCACAGAATATGCATGAAAACTGCCTGCCTTTCCCAGGACACTATACCCTGCTCTGTGAAGACTTTCCAAATTATTAGCCTCAATCATCTTTTTCATCATCCTAACGATTCCTGCAGGTGCAGGGTTAAACATAATTTTTTAAAAAATCATTTTCAACTTGCTTCTACTATTAGCTTAGGCTGCTTATTGCAAGAGTGAGGCATTGTCCCAATTAGACTAAAATAATTAGTGTGGAACTGGAAAATGGAATCAGTAATGTTCTCACTGATCTACCTATTGAGGCTGTTCTACTGTATTTTCATGTAGCAAGTATCTTCCATGAGCCTATATGCACACCCAAATTTATTTTCCTAATAATCCTTTGAATAGGGCGGAGTAAATGCAACATCTAGAGAACTGTTTCTTAAACATAGCCATCAAATCATTATAAAATATTTGAGGCACTCCCATTGTTGCAAAATCTGGGGCTCCATCAGGAAAGTAGTCTAAAGATCCCTGCAATGAGAAATTCATAAGTGCTTTTGGCCTCCAACTCAGAATATCACATATCTCACAAGATATCTAATATAAATCATTTGTAAAAGAAATCCCATTTCTGTATAAAGTACAAAAATGCCTTTATTCATTTATTCTATATCTTTCCATTCCATCTTAAAAACATTTAAAATAGCTCTTATAAAATGTTATCACAATTAGTTAAAATGATTTTTTGAATGGCTAATAATAGTGAAAGCAATCAAAGCTTCATATCCTCATATCCTTTAATATAGCAACCAACCATCACTCATTTGCTACTATTTTTATGTATGCATATATGTTTATGTGAGACATCTTATATACTGTTCCTATGTTCTGTTACACTGTTCCAGTAAATTTATAATCAGTTGGTACAAACAAAGGGCCTTCAATTCATATATTTCCCCAATTAAAAGTAAAGATGCAATCACAGGAAAAAAAAAGACCGGGCCAATTATCTGAAGATTTATGGAAATCTCAAATGCTGGAAGAGCCATATTTTCATATCTGTTTACTTTTAAATGTGTTCTTATGGGTTGCATAAAGCAAAATAAAGCAAGGGGAGAAGAAAGCCAATTCTTTTTTTTATATATAGGAAAAGCCTGTATATTTTATGATTGCCTTTGTTTTCACTTTCCAGTTATTCTACTTTGCCAATGTCTTTGGTGGTGATTATCTTAAATTCAAAGTCACAATGCAACTATACTATCAAGAAAGCCATATTATTTGTTGGTTATTCAGAGAAGGAATGGGAATATTCCCACATATCAATTATAAGTATATGTTGATTAAAAGGTCACATATTTCGTGTACTGGTAAATAACAATGTCATGCTGTATAAATTGTACAATCATGTATAAAGTTCTCATTGGTACATGCTGAATAGAAAATAATGGGAGGTAACATTGCTGTGAACAATATATATATTGAACATGATATATAAACAATATAGATACAATATATATATAAAATACACAACATGTATTTTGTACATGTATACATACACACATACACATTTCCCCAAACTATAGATTTATACTTCACTTCTTGAAAAGGAAAATTATTTTGGAAGTAAAACATTTCCTGGGAAATCAGTGTTAACTACCCAACAATTTGTCAGTTTTATCACAATAGAGCTTAGCCAACTTCATGAATTTCTTACAGGAAAGAGTTGTGTTTCTTGGTGGCCACAAAGAGTGTAAAACAACTGTATATTCTAGTGCAATTCATAGAAGAGATCTCTTGGCAAAGATAGCAGTTGCAGATAACCGAAATTATTTTCAGTTTTTCCTTATCCCTGACAAAAATTCTTAGGCCTATTACCTGCTACCATCTTGGAAATATGAAAGTCAATGAAAAAGGCTGTTACTGTAGCCTCAAAATAGAATTTGCAACTGCAATAAGCCATTGTAACTACCTTTCTCATGTTGCCTTTTTCAGTGCTAATCCCAAACTATGGGCACATTCAAACATTCCTGAATATCAGTGATTAACTCAAGAGATAACTCTTCAGTTGTAAAACTACTTTTATGCTGTCCACACTGCCAGCTCAGTAGGTAGCAAATGGCTGCTCCCTATTGTGTGGTCACGCTTACTGAGTTTAAGTATTTTTATGCTTATACTCAAGAGTAAGTGATGTGAAGCAGGAGTGTCTGCAGGGAAAGTCATAAAAGGTCAAAATGGCAGCCAACACCAGGCAAAGTCACATCTCTATTTACATGCTAATTGCGTAAAAAGAATTGCTTTTGATCGAGTAGCCATAGCTATCATCTTTGCTTTCTTGACTGCCTTGCAGATACCCATTGTATGATTGCATCTACAGAGACAAGCAAATTCTGAATAAGTGATTATTTAAAAACCAATTCTTACAATTGCCACAAGTGTTCCAACTGTTTAAGACAATTGATTTCTGTTTATGTAGCGTTAATCTGCAAATTACAAAAACACTGAGCAAATGCTCAAAAGGAAATGAGTCAACTCATTTTTATATTTGTAATGTGTGCTTATAATAATCAGGTAAATAAGTATCCATGTTGCTGATTCAGAAGAATGCAGTGTGATAATCCATGTGAAGCTGGGAATGATTGATTGTAATATTAACAGTCCTGACATTTGATTGAAAATATCTAAGTTTTTCTAATGTGCATGTTCTCTGTTTGGCTATGAACAGCATTATGGAAGAATGGCAGCTCTCCTATCAGTTACTACCTTATTGGAAATTCATTATTTTATATTTTGAAGAATGAGGATCATTCATATATGTACATTCATGGAGAGGGAAGGTCAAAGGTCAGGCATTTAGCTTCATGGCCAAGGGTGGCTTTCCTGTGGTTAACAATACAATTGATAATCGTAAATTTCATCATCATTACTGATAGGAAGGATGAAGGAAACCATAACAGTTCAGTGTAGATGCTGTATCCTGCCCCAACGAAGAGGAATAAATAAACTAAAGTTGCACAATTGCATCTCTAGTCCTGAAGCAGCAAATGTAAAATCCACCCAATTCAGCAACCCACTTTTCATTTAATAATCCTGATTAAGTGACCAACAAACACAATGGTTCGTTTCATGCCCAATGCTATGTGCAATTAAGCCTAGCTCTGCTTTTCCCCATGGGAAA